TAATAGTGTTTTTGCACTGGGAGATGAGTACTTGCTGCATCAAAGCTCAGAAAACATCAGATGAGCTCTTGTAGGATCAAGCCAAGTGAAATGATGTCCTTTTGTGGAAAAAACTGTATCTTTTCACAGAAGAGTAATTTATTACACCTGAGATCTCAACTGCATCGCATAAGCAGAGAGTTTCCAGTATGCTGGAAGTTTATACTCTAAATGTAAGTACCTTCGTTTAATGCAGTGAGTCTAAGAGACAGCATATAAAATCAAGGTAAAATACTAAGAAGAAAATTATTTGTTTAAGGTCACGAGACAGCTGAACTTTAAAGCAAAATCATGAGCAACTCCATTCCTCATTCATTGTCTTCTCTGGCAGTTTGCAAGGGAATAAATCAATAACTGCTTTCATATGACTGAAAAGATTATCTACCCACCAAGTTGAGTACAGGGTTTCTAAAAAGATTAAAGTCCTCATTTAGGTATGACTTTGAGTTATCAATGGACATTAGGACACATCTGCATGCCTTACTTTAGTTCAAATAGGACTGTAGCCCTCTGCTGCACCCCGAACTGACAGGATGCTGTGTGGTAAGACACAGACATCAAGTCACACAGCTATTGCATGACACAGGCATCTCTGACTCCTTTAGAATAGTGATGTTCTTTTACACAACACTAATCAGAATTAATTTTTTACAATGAAATATTGGAAACAATTTCTTGGGCAAGCTGCCAGGTACTTTAACCATCATGAAGGTTAAGAAAGAGAAAAACAATCAGCTGAAAACAAGAGCTTGTTCAACAGGCACAAAAATTTCCCTGCTAGTAATGTGCCTTGGAACTTTTCCAGCATTATAATCTAGTGTTGGATCTCTGTAGCCAGAGACAGCTTTGTCTTTCTCATATGTATCAATCTATTTAATATTTAATCCTGATTTGACATGGCATAGAGTAGTGGTTCTAAGAATGAACTACAGAAGCTCAAATTCTGCCTGTCCTACATGTTTGGGAAGTTTACATTAGTGCAAGTATCTTGAGAAAAGACAATTTTTTTTGAAAGTTTGCATCTGTCCAGAGATTTGAAATGTTTAACAAGGCACTGTTTAGCGATTACATGTGACATGGTCAAAACTGCAATACAAACCTAATCTTAGGATGGCATATCACTTCCTGTGTGTGTGTGGTCTCTATGAGAGTGCCTTAAAAATAATACATTTTTCCTAAATTAAAATCTAATGATTAGTCATTTCATTATATATTTATATATCCTTTTTTCACCTTGCCTGCAAATTTTACTGAGAGTTCAGCTGTGAAAATAGATCCTGCCCCTGTGTTACTTTCCACGTTTGCTTAAATGTATAACCATGAGACTGTCGAACTGTGATGAAGTGGTGTGTAATGGCAGCTAATTTTAAAAATCCATCCATTTTCCCAACTCAGTGACATGTGCAATTTCCACTGCAGTGACCTACTTAACAGAGCTGCAATCAAGGATGAGCACCAGGGTAAAATAATTTACTGTGGGAACAGACCATGCTGTTTCTCCTCTAGCTCCATTCCTGGTGCTTCTCCAAATCAAGACTCAACAGCTCATACTTCGATAGCAGATCTCACAGTATTATTAATTTTCTCCTTAAAATCCCCATTACATGCTTATTGATCAGCATCTATACTTCCCATTAGCTTCCAAACCTTGTGCTTTCCACATGATTGATTTGAAATCACTAAGCAGATATAGGAATAGCAGCAAGTAATTAAACCAAAAACTATACTTTGTCCAAAAATTTTCTCCACTATGCCCATGGCAACCCCCTGGTGCTCATTCTTGGGTTATGGTTTTTCAGTGCCTGAGGTATGCAATGGATTGCCTGTAAACAACTTACTCGATTTCCCACCAAGCAACATCAACATACATCGCACTGTCAGTACTGCTGGGAGGATCATCAGATCTGCTCTCCAGATCACCTCCCAGGCATGTGATTTAAAAAAAGGTAAGACAGTTAAGGGAGGGGGAAGTGATCCCTCACCTTGTGCTCACATTTAAAACAAATCTCAGCTTCCTGCTTTCATTCCCTCAGGTTTCATCCAAGCCACAGACCTGAAGGATAACACCTTCATGCTCCACTTGGTTTAAAACACAAAGGAGGCTTTCACTGTATCATAAAACAAGTGGGAGGGGGGGAAATGACCTTTAAAATACGGTCTTTTCAGAAGATTTGCAAGAATGAACTGCATTTATAAATATTTGAATAGTTTGAATTTGGCTTAGGTGTGTCTTACACATCATGAAATAATCACCAACATGAAGATTAGTTGCCCACTTAAAGTTTCTTCACAATTTAGAAAAATACTGAAGCTAGAAAAAAAAAAGGCGCATACCTTCATTTATTACAAGGAAGTGCAATTCTAGTGGGGCCAGTGAACTTAAAGCACCACAGGATCATCAAGATTGTAAGAGATCTCCAAGATTGTCTAGTCCAACCAGCAACCCAGCACCACTGTAACTGCCCCAAAACCATATCCATAAACACTTAACATTATTAACACTGAACATCATTAACTGTATGTTCCTATACTGTTGCTTATCCTAGTAGGATCATCTACTCCATGACAAAAATAACCCCAAACAGATAAGAATATTGAAGCATTTATTCTTACCAACCTTGATGTTGAACTTCAGTTCATCTTAATTACCTTCCCTGTTACACACCTCTATTCTGGATCTTGAGCATTAGGGCCCTTTCTCTTATCTTTGATGGGCCAAAATCAGACATGAGGAACCAAGGAGGGAAAGCTAATTTTTTAGCTAATAAATGTACGAGATTTTTTTAGGAATATCTAAACAATTAATAATGATATTTATCAGCAGATAAAATTTGTTTGTAAAGACACATAAATATTAGGCAACCTTGTATTACTTGCTTTTCCTTATGCTGCATCCTAATCAACATTTTTTAATTATAACTCTGCAAGCAAACTTCTTCATTATGTCCTTTATACACACTAATGAAAGAATACATATGAGTGCTGCAAGACTTTTACATGAACTATGCACAGTTTAATAACTACCTACATTTAGGCTGCCTCAGCTTCCCAGGACGCCCCACTGACAGCACCAACATCACTCAGAAGAGCTGAGGTCAGCTTTGGCATTCTGGGTTTTGCTGTTTTGTTTGCTTGTGTGTTCCTTGATGATCTAATCAGTTTTAAGAATTATAGCAGAAACTATCACATGAAAACAGGTATCACAATAGCACAGAAAGCTCCACTGCTGCCATGCATCCAATTCATATAGATCTGATTTTGAAGAATTAGTCCACAAACATAACACCTTGTGAGAAACTTACACATTTGCAGGTTTAATTCCACAATCAGTGGGATGGTAACTCACATGTATTCAGAAAGAAGCCAGCATGCTCAAAAGGGCACCTTTAACATACCTTTTTTTCTAAGCCCTTGAACACCCACCTCTTTTTCCACAACCCTTCAAATGTAATTCCCCCCTCCCACTGGTAAATAATAAAAAGAAAGCTCAAAGTATGGAGTTAAAAAACAGTCCTGACATCTTTCTGCCTGCGAAAACTACTTACAAAAATACTGGAATATATAAACCACTCAAAAATGGAAACGAAACCTGGAAGACGTCACTCATGTCTCAGCACAGACTAAACTGAAAACAACCTACCAAAACAAGCCAAGGTACTGTTGACCATAAAGTCAAGAGTATTTTTGGATGGCCAAAGTAAGTGCCCTAATGTTACACAGCAATACTAACTCCTGAGACTTCACTTTGGGTAAAGAAGCAGTTTCCCAGGGGAAGTTGCCAGGATGAGTTAATGGTCATGAGTGGAGCACACATTTGAGCAAGGGACCGGTACTAGAGACCACACCACTGGAAGTAGCAAAGAGTTTGTGATTCAGATAGAGAGCATGTGTTTGAATTCACCACCCAATTTTACATCAAGAGATGCAAGAGCATTTCTTGGGTCAAAGGGCCTGCACAAGATGTGCTTCAATCCAGGGCTGGAGAAGAGCCCGGAATGTGTTTGTCCTGTCCTCTTGGCCTGGAGGCACCAAAGTAAGGATTTAGAGCAAGAGGGAGCTGTGCCAAATTCCCTGGTCTGGGTTAGATAAGGATCACATCTAGACATGCACCACAGGCCAGTTCATGATTTAGTGGATCTTTTTATGAATGTAGGAATAAATGAAGAAAAGGGTCACTGCTTGGTCATGCAACTGGCATCTTCAAGCAACAGGCTTCATCCTTGGAGGGATGAAGGCTGCCCTCTGAGTGTTCAATGTCCTTTATCTTCTTTTAATAATTAAAAACTCCAGTTATAAGACTTACATCTAGCAGTGCAAAGGATGGTTGCAAAAAAAATTTGTCTGGAGAGGAGAACAACATTGAATACTTTTTCCCATCACTTCTGACAAATCTATTCCTGCAATTTAATTTTCTACTGAAGCTGCAAGCCTGCAAGTCTAAAATGAATGTTTTGCTTTGCAGAACAGAAATCATCTAATGATGAAAACTCACTATCTGGGACATGAGGAATTCATATTATAGATTGAGAGATAATTACAAATGGTAAATATATTACTTTCAGGAGGCTTTGTTCATGACAGAAAGCACACTGAGGGACCTGCAGTTCAGTAATGGCACAGATTTTCCTGAAAAAGATGTAATTATTATATACGTTTATACATTTAATCAAACTCTCTCAAGTGGCTTGCCTTTTTTTAGATTCCATTTTTAGCTCTTAAGAAATAAGTAATTTTGAAGAATGAGATATGTTAGGAATTATTTATTAGATCCATGCTACTCTTTAATAAAGTCTTTTTTTTTTTAATGCTTTAAATGATGCAGGTCACTTGTGCTTGACCATAATAAGGCAATAAAAGTATCCTTCTGTTCACCACAGCAGAGCATTTAGCTCCCTAATCACAGTGCTTCATGCACCAGTGTTAAAAAGAAGAATAGTAAAGAATCATCACTGAACTCTTACCAAAGCAGGAATTAACAAAGCCATACCACCTACAAGCATGATCCCCTCCGATCCATTTGCCACGGATGTTGGATGCAAAACTGAGGGTAGTGCCCGAGATGCACACTAGCATGTCACTGACACTGATGTTCAGGAGAAGCATGTTGACTGGGTTACGCAGGGTTTTAAACTTGCAGAAGAGGATGAGGACAATCAAGTTATTCAAGAAACCAAAAAACAAGATTAATCCGAGAAAAACAGCCACTACTGTGTGCCCACTTCGTGAGAGTCCAGCCCTTGGCTCAACAGGATGTGCAGGTGCACCAAAGCTCAGGTTATACATCCAAGTGTGGTTCATTTCGGTCTTTGTCATGGATCAGTGAGGGCAGAAATCAGGGTGCCCTTTGCAAAAGGGCAGTTTCCCAGAAGTCATTCCATCACAGATTAAATCCTCTCAGGAGCCTTGCGATCTTTGTTTAGATGATATATCTCTTAGATGGTTATACAGGTGTGAAACACGATATTGCAGCACAGAATTACTTTCCTTCACTGTGCCTTTCCAGGTGTCTGCTCTGCAGTAACTCCAGGGCAACAGAACCAAGTAAGCAATCACCTCAAATTCATCTTTCTTGTTTAAACCTAGGATAATATTAGATGACCTTTTTTGATGTTCAGAATGGAAAGTATCTTAAAAAGATGCTTCAGTATGATCTCCTCCTTCAGAGCAGATGGACAGCCCTATCCTTTCCTCTGACAATGAGTGTCTTTCTGAAAATACAGAAAAAATAAATGGTTAAAACCATTTGTTACAGCTCTTTCCACACGAAAAACAAAAAATAGGTACATAATTTACTAACAGTTCCTCCTATTTTAAACTGTAACAAATATCTCTAATTCTTTTCAGTTTTTACTCTGATTTTTAAAAGAAACATCTATTTGTCTACATTTCCTTTGATGTTTTAAGCAATTTTTCCCTAGCTCAGTTTAGCATTCAGAAGGTCGTTTGCACCTTCCTAGTAAAGTTCCTCATGTGAGAAAACATATCTTTTGCATCAGCTTCCCAGAAGAACTCTGTCTTCCTCCACATTAAGTCAATCTACCCCAAACGAAGTTTCATTCTTGGCTTGACCTTAATTAAAATAATGACAAATTTAGGAGGAGAAGGTATTTCTTTACCCAGAAAGAAAAATATCAAATGCAGTCCCTCAAGCTCTCATGTGCACACAAAGGTTTGCAGATCTGTGATAACAATCTCTCTCCTCCCACATTTACCAGTGAACAGATGTCTTCCTTTATTATTTATAAAGCAGCCAAACACCCAAAGCCTCACATCTCTCATATCACAGGTGTAAATTTTATCCACATGCAGTGAATACATTGCTTGTGTGTTTTGTGAAACAATAGTGTTTAATGTGGATTCATAACTACGTAGTCTACCTTCTCTGTGGTTGCCAGCAAATTCTGCACAGTGTTTCATAAAAGTGGAGATGTGTGTATATGTGTACATATATAAGAGTTTCCACTCAGTGCAAAATGCATGATTATGCATAACTTGCTGGACTAAAAAATTTGAAAGCTTCTCTTTCATGTGTCATGTACTTCTAGAATGATTGCATGCACTTTAAAATGGAGCATCTCCTATATTAGTCCTAACTGTTGTTTTCTAGAAATTGTCTTGTAAAATATGTATTTAGCAACTGGAAAATTGAGAGTTCAATTTACTGAAGATTCAGAGGTTGCTTGCTTTTTTCTTTTATATCTTTGTGTCATGGTAAGAATTTAGAACAAAATTTTCTATTTCTTTTCTTTCACAAACTCACTGTGCTAAATGTTGCAGTGATTTTAAAGTCATATACAGACTGTCATAAGGTTTTTTTCTGGTGAGTAAATTATGTACACTTCACAGACCTTCTACTGTTTAGTCATAGAGAACCTGAAACACTGATGCTTTCTGATTTTTTTCCTCCCCCTTTAGGAGGTGCATGGTAATTTATGTTGGAAAGGCTCCCAGGTAGCATATCTAAGAGAAAGAACTTTTTAAGTCCTCTTCCTACAATTTTGAAAAAAAAAAAAATCTCCTACCCAATTCTGGTTACAGGTTATAGAAGGAAACTAACCGAGTCTCACCATCAATATACTCTAAATTGTATATAGCGTTTAAAAGAACAGAGTGAAAATTTAGTAGAACAAAAACCAAATCTTAAAAATACTCTTCTGAGCATTTCTCCTATGCAAACAGGCTGAGAGAGTTGGGGTAGCTTAGCCTGGAGTAGAGAAAGCTCTTGAGAGACCGTGTTGCAACTTTTCAGTACTTAAAGGGGACTTCAGAAAAATGGGGAGAATCTTCTTATCAGAGCCTGTAGCAAAGGGGTAAGGATTTAAAATTAAAGGCTGGTCAATTTAGGGTCAATAATGAAGAAGTTTTTTGCAACAAAGGGGGGTTGAAACACTGGAACAGGTTGCCCAGGGAGGTATTAGATTCTCATCCCTGGTAGTGTTCAAGGTGAGTTTGGACAGGGCTCTGAACAGAGTCTTCATCTCTGAGCTGATGATGTCCTTGCCTATCACATCAGGGCAGTTGGACTAGATGACCTTTAGATGTCTGTTCCAACACAAATTATCCCATGATTAAAAATTTAGCTCAAAACATGAATAATAAATTGTAGGTCTATTATACAGCCATCCTGCATTCTTAAAAATATACCAAGAGTTCATATTTATAGTGCTTATAAAAGGACATTTTATAAGCATCCGGGGACTTACAAAAGTCCCTAGATGGGACTCAGCTGACTAAAATTTAGCAGTGTGACACCAAGGTCCAGCCCAGTGTCCAGATCATTTCTCCACTGACCACTAGTCACACAGCTTTAGCTGGGCAAGTTCTGCCCTGGTGCGTTGGGAAATGAGACCTTAATGCACATGAAGACATGCAGGTCCTGAAAGTTCAGTGTAAGGCACATTTTAAAATTATATTACTCGATATCAAAAGATTACAAACATGATGAACAAAGATGAACTTCAAAAAGTTTTGGGTGAACTTAGGAGACAGAGGTCTGCAGAGGAAGACATCTGAAGATCTGGGCTATGTGGGATTAGGTTTTTTTTTTAGGAGCTCATGTATAAAGTTCTAAGTTTTTACAGTTGTGGATGAGGTAAAAACTACATTCAGATTTTAAAAAAAGCTTCTAAACTCCCATATTAATCCCTTGAAGAATGGGTCCAAGTTTACCCAATGTTAGCATTTAACTGAATAATACACATTATTGTTGAAAAAACACTTGTAGATGAGCTTTTGTGCTCAAAGGTTCACTTGATTTTTCTTTTTTTTTTTCCTCCAGAGAGATTGTTTGGTTTAATAGAGGTTACTCTGGAACTCTATAAACCATGTCTTACTCTGCACTCCCCAGGGCTCCATGACCTAGAAGGACAGCCTGAACCCTCCCAATTCCTAGCAAACTCAGGAGCTTAAAGGATTGCCAATGCTACTTCTCAAAAAATGTTTTAAAACTCCAAAGCAATACAACCTACTATTCCACCCAAGGCAAATAAATGAGCATCCAACTTGTCCCCTTGAATTTGTCAGAGCTGACAGGGAATGGAAAATATACCCAAAGTGATACAAAACATATGGCCAGGTGAAATGGGCCAAAAGTTTGTTTAACGTCACCAGCTATGAAATGCTGCATCTGTTAACTGGTTCTGACAGTAAAAGTCTAAAGATACAGCAAAAACAGACGCCCATCACTGCTTGTATTTTCTCTGAAGTAGTCTGCTGGAAAAAAATGAGGTTTCAGAAGATGTTAGCTCAGCTTCTGGGAGCACAGGCTTTAATCCAGAGAGTGAGAGGCTTCTTTTCGCACTTGACACCACACATTAGTTTGAGCAGTGAAGTTGGTTTATTTCCCTTCTCACTTTACTACCAAATAACTTACTGAACACATTAGCTTCACGGGTTTCCAGCTGGGAGATTTCTTTACCATCTTCTCATGCAACATTGTGCAACATTCCAAAGATGATGCTTAATTCACTTTAAAAATTTGAAATCTGAAGAAAATGCATAAAATAAATTAAATCAAACTTCATACTACTAAAAAAAAAACTTACCCTTTTCCATCATATCTATATTGTTCTCTTAGGATATAAAGGAGCTATAAAAAACCCTCTTATATTTACATAGCCACACAATCTAAATCAACTCGTTCACTTCATATAAAAATAAATTTTAAAATAGTTGTTTTCCTTCATTTAACAACTCATATTTCTAATGAAAAGTTAAATTAAGAAACAAACAAACAAAAAGCATCCAAACCAACCCCCTTACATAACATTTCAAAGACAATCCCAAATGAAATTTTATTAAGGAAGAATCACTTTTTTGACCTGCTAACAGAATTATGACAGCAATAGTGTATTGTTAAATTGACGTACATTTAAGCTCATCTTCCAGATGAGAAACTGAATTGCTTTTAACAGAAAAGATCCAAAATCAGAAGTATCATCTGAAACAATTCTTTTAAAACACAGCCGAAAGACGGGGGTCTCAATTGGACTTCACAACACTTGAAGTCAGAATTTCCATCTGTTCTGGACTACTTTTCCATGCTCCAAGCCACACTGCAATATTTTAAGATGTCCAGAGAGAGGTCTTTAGAACTAAGCTAGAAGACTGAGAGGAGATTTTATGGTTCAGAAGTTTGGGTATCTCCAGCTCCCACAAAATCTCCTGCCTGTGGAAGAATCTCTTGTATGCAGGTCAGCAGACTTACTTTCAGCAGTTCATGTTCACGACACAGACAGACATGTAAATGAGAACAACATAAGTACAAAACATGTGCGATGAAGTTCACACGTTTGAATGGTGTACTATTTATTCAAGGGGAAAATCTAAATGTGGCAAACCCAATCTTTTGAAAAAGAAGCTACTTTCATTTAGTATACTGAAAGTTAAGGCAACCCCTCTTACGTACAAAGAGGAAGTTTATGCACAGAAATGTCTGTGCTGCGAGATGAGGCACACACATTCCTGAGCTGGGCTGAAGCCATCAGGAGTGTCCCAGAGCCCAGCCGGGACGGCGGCGGCAGCGGGGTCTGAAAGCACCTCCCAGATGCCAGGCTCTAAACACTGCACCAAGCAAAAACCTCTCCAGCCAACCTCCGCTTAGGATTCTTCCTTCACAAACTTTTTTTACACTTCTTGGGGAGGGGAGGGTGGAAGAAAAACCCACCTGTGTCTTTCATCCACAGCAACCCAAAGGGAAAACAGCCACCCAAGTCTGCGGCAAACACGTCCCGAGCGGCGGCACCAGGAGCCCCGGTACCCGGGTTGCCCTCCCGGGCGGTGGTCGCTCACGCTGCGCGGGATGGAGGCGGCGGGCTCGTCCTGCCCGCTCACATCCTTCTCCTTCTCCCCTCCCCGGTGG